GCTGAGGGAGGCCGAGGAGGCCGCCCCGGTCTTCCAGTACGCGGGGAAGGCGGCCAAGCGGAAGGACCGCGTCTTCGTGTGGGGCTTCAGCTACTCGGGCGCCCTGGGCGTCCCCAGCTTCGTGAAGCCGGACGTGGGCTGGAAGAAGCCGCGGCGGATCCAAGCCACCCCCTACCGGCTGGAAACGGAGGAGAAGGTGGGCCCGGGGGCGGCGGCGGTTTCGTCCCGGCGGGGTAACGTTAGCGTTGCTTCTCAAACACCGGTGCACCTCCTCTGTCCCTGCCAGCTCAGCTCGGCAGGTTTCTTCTCTCAGCTTTGAAAAGCGTTAACTAACCTGATTGAAAGTCTTTGCCGTGATTCTTTTTTTTTAATTGGTATAGCGGTGTTCATCAGGATGATTTTTGGTATAACGACAGTAGCATACAGTTTGGATTGCATACGTATACTTTTGTCAGAGCTATTAGCGAGAGCATGAACAACATTTATCAGAGAAATAGGGCCTCCTTTTCAGCGGCTTTCATGGCTACTTTCACCTTGACAAAATTGGAAGCTTGTGTTGAAAATCACGTTATTCTTTTGTCTCCGTGTTTCAAACATCATGCTCTGCTGTCCAGTTCAGAGAAGGCCAGACCTGTTATCCTGGGCTTTTTTTGGCAAAAGAAGCAAAGCAGGGGAACGTTACTTTCTTAATAGCTCTTTGTGGTTTTTTGGGTTGTTTTTTTTTTTTAATCTACTGCTGCTGCAGGTCAGCAAATAGGCCTTCCTGTTGTGTTTGAATGGGTCCAAAATAATGCAAAAATAAAAGTGTACACACACACAAAAACAAAACTCTAGGGCGGTAATGTTGGACTTGAGTTTACACCATTGTGCATATCACTGAAGGGTGTTTCTGGATCATTTTTGTGAAGACCGTATGTACCATGAATTTTGGCTGTATTTGGATATGGCCTAAGGAAGGAGGAATGCTGATAAACAAATAGCATGGGGTGAAATGTTTTTCTAAGCTACAGTTTATAACTGAATGGTGTGGGTTTTCTTTGTCTTCAAAGATCTCCTCTGTTGCCTGCGGTTATGGATTCACGCTGCTGTCCTCTAATACTACAGACATCACCAAAGTGTGGGGCATGGGGCTGAACAAGGATTCCCAGCTTGGATTTCAGAGAAGCATAAGAGATCGAAGTAAGGATTGAGGTGGTGTAAGGGCTTACAGGGCGGCACTACAGGACATATGTGATGTGGGAAACTTCAGGTTAGAACGCATAAAACAATGTCCAGGAGGCTTTGCTGCAGACTGCAGGGCTATGCTTTTTTTTTTTTTAAAAAAAAAAAAGAGGCCTGGTTTTGGAACTTAGCTATGTGTTTGTGTGGTTTGTAACTGATCAAGGTATGCATTTGTTCTGTGCAGTACACTTACGTTCTTGCCTGGATGTAACTAAAATCTAAGTGTTTATTCTGCAGAAGTGCAGTACACTTACGTTCTTGCCTGGATGTAATTAAAATCTAAGTATTTATTCTGCAGATGTGTGTGTGTTGGTTAAGTTGTTGCTTTAAATCTCCAGTTTGATAGTAGACCGTGTAGTGGACTAGTTAATAAAACGATTTTGGCAAGATGATTTCCTTACTTCTGTTGCCTTTGCATCTATAAATTAATTTCTTTTCTCACAGAGATCTTTTTATACAGTCAGTGGAATTTTGTGTGAAGCTGTAGGGGTTTTTTATTTTAATACCAAATTGCATTTTGAAGGAAAAACATGTTATTTAGTCATTCTGTCTTATACCAGGTTCTCAAATGCATTTAAGATGATGATTGCTGTGCAGAACATCACCACCTTCCATCTAAGACAGATAAAAAACCCACAAACTTGCTTCCCTTATAGAATGGCTATCTAACTGTTTGAAAACATTCTTCCATGTTAAAAGCAGTTTTTCCTCTTTGTAGTGTATAAGAGCATAATCCATTAAGGTATGGTGCATCTGATATGGGCAAAAGATTGAACTTTGGAGAAGCAAAAGAAAATTGCTGTTACTGTGCAGAATGCTGAAGTTTGCAGTGGTGCTGCTGTTGTGCGTTGCTGCTAGCATACTGTATAGATCTCCAAGAGCACGCAGCAAATGTGTGTGCTTAAACAGCAGCTGCAAAATGAAGGGACCGCAGAAGCCTCCACTCACTTCTGCTTTTAAAGGTTTCAGCTCTTACTCTGTCTTAGTTCTGTAACTGTTGATGTCTCGGGAGTGTCCTGTCATTTTCTTGTTTTTCATCTGACCTACGGGTTATTTTTGCCAGAGAATCGGTACATACGTTATGCAGGTCAAGCCCTTCTAAGTAAGGGAGTGTTCAGTGTTCGATAGGATCTGTTGAAAGTGGCGTGCAGATCAGTGGGGTCTGCTGCTGCTCCATGTTTAACTTCCCACAGACAAGCTTCCTTGTTACTCAGTTTACAAACTTACTTTGGTACCTTCTAGTTCTAACACTGTGTCCCCGTAGATGGTTTGTTTCCAGGGGAATTTGCAACCTTCTGACTTCTAGATGGTTGTATTTCATGCTCTAACTTGAGCTGTTTCTAAGCTAAACTACTAATATTTTATTCTCGCCCTCCCCTGCCTTAGCCACCTTGTTGTCTCTTTTCTGTAAAATCCCTCAGATATCAGTGATGATATTGAGTTCGTTACCACAGATCCCAGTAGCTTGTGACTCTGCTGGAAGGAACAGAGAGAGAGAGAGAGGAAAAGGTTTTTTGCTTTGTGACTTCCACGTCTCTTTAGACAGATACAGCCTCGCTGTGTTTCAGTTCCTGCTATATTGCAAGGCAGGCTCCCACCATTTGCAAACAGCCAGTTGTGATGCCTGTCCTTCTGTGAAGTAGTGTCTTGCTGTAAAAGGGTACGTGTAGATTTTCTGGTTTTTTTTAATTGAAGGCAGTAAGAACTAGTTAAAGCACTGCTACATGTGAGCAGAACACTGCTTTGGGTCCTTTGGGATTTGATTTCACTTGTTACAGTGGCTTTCTTTGATATCAAAGCTTTTTATCTCCCCTTAACCTTTTCCCTAGTACTGATTTATGTTTTGCTGTTCGTTGCCCCCCCCCCCGCCCCAGTTGAGCATAAGTGATTACATATTTTTCGAGTTACTAAATCTTCCTTTTCTAGTAAAGCCTGTCATTTTCTTTCATAAACATTAGATCTCTTATCCCCTGTGGAGCCAGGCTAGCTAGTATTTCTTGCATTCCTTTTTTCTGAAAAGGCCTTTAATCTACTGTTCTTTAAAT